AACCAGTCTTTGCTAAAGACGACTGTACCAGTACAAAAATTCTTTATGGCTAGACTGAAAAAACAGACTTAATTTATTACAAAGTCCTCCTTCAAGAAGGATGGAGAGAAAAAATATCATACACATGCTAAGAATATGGAAGAAAGACATTTATTTTTATTTTATCGGCTGCACTGCTACAGGCAGTTCTCAGGTACGACTTCAAGCACACACACTTCTCTCCTTCAGTGAGCACAGAGATACTTTGCAAATATCAGGTCTCAAAACTGACTGTAAGTAAAGCTAAAGGTACAAAACCACCCTCTTCGGGGGCAAGGCCAGTTCAAGAAGTTTTCATTTTCTTCCCCCAACAACTTGCCCTCCATACACAGTTTGCAATTTCCTCAATTCAGCTATTTTTGTAGTCAAGCTACAAAGCCGATTGTGAGCATGTCTGCATTTGAAAGAGGCCTCCAGGACAGATTTGCAATACTTTTGCTTTAGTCCACAACATTGGCACTGACACTACAGAAAAGGAGGTGAACTGCAGCACAGAGATGAAAGTGGGTAGAAAAAGAGGTAAAGAAATTCTTCTAGCAGCAAAGCATCCCTTACACTTAACATCAATGTCCATCAGACCCTTCAAAATAAGCTAGTTCCCATCACTTGCCAGACAGGAGAAAAAGGAAAAAAAAAAAAAATGTGGGGGGAGATAATGAAGTTAGAATCATAGAATCATAGAATTGTTGAGACTGGAAGGGACCTTTAAGATCATCAAGTCCAACCATTAACCTAACCTGACGAAACCACTTCTAAACCATGTCCCCAAGTACCACGTCTACCTTTTTTTTTTTTTTTTAAACCCCTCCAGGGATGGCGAATCCACCCCCTCCCTGGGCAGCCTGTTCCAACGTTTAATAACCCTTTCAGTGAAAAAAAATGTTTCCTAATATCCAATCTAAACCTTGTCTGACATAACTTGAACCCATTTCCTCTCCTCCTATCACTTGTCATCAGGGAGAAGAAGTCAGCCCCCACCCCTCTACACCCTTCTTTCAGATAGTTGTAGAGGGTGATAAGGTCTCCCCTCAGCCTCCTCTTCTCCAGGCTGAACACCCCCAGTTCCCTCAGTCATTCCTCATAAGACTTGTCCTCATAAGACTAAGTTCTCCCAAGTCAGCTCCTTTCAGCATCGAATATAAGCCCCACTGCAATGGAGACGGTGGGATCACACAGCCAGAGGGGGGCGAGAAGCCAGAGGAGACGCGAGACCTCACCAGCTCTTCGGCACACCCAGTCTCGCTGGCAGCGCTTTGTAAAGCCCAGACCCAAATACTGCGGGATAAAGAAAGTTAGGCCAGGTCTGAAATACTCCTCAGAGTCAATGACATCTGAAGGCATTACTAAAGGAATCGACAACAGCTGGGTTTATTTCTGCTGAATTAAGCATCAACAGTCGAACAAATCCTCACGCTGCCTCCACAAGGGATTTCTAGGGCTTTGGTCAGGGTCTGGAAATTCCACTCTAAATTGTAATTTCTACCTTGGTCGGTACAAACATCAGAATTACTGGTTTGTAAACCTCTGCATCTCTCCCAAAATTGGTTTTGAAGAAGTTGACATCCCATCAGCCACTTTGCAGTCCACTTGTAGCGAGGGAGCTTCCCCTAACAGCTTACGCAGCACATCAGTCACTCAGCCATCGTCAGGTCATCTGTCAGAGCTTTTACGAATACCATCCAGGCTTGAACAGCTCTTATTGGTAAAACTGTCTATTTCCCTTCACGTTTTCTACAGCAGCTTCACATCAGACCTTGTTTGAGGGGATCTCTGCAAAGTTTTTGGCACGGGAACTTTTGGAAGTTCCTCCGCTCTGAAGAGAGGTGTGAAAAACAAATTTGGGGTGTTTTGCTGCCATGGCCTCATCTCTTCTGCGTGCTGCTCCTGCTCCGGGCTCCGCGGTCTTTGGTGGGATCCCCGTTCCACGGCGGGTGGGTGTAAGGGTGAGTACACGCATGTGTTGGCTTTTATACCTCTTGCTCATCACTCATTAAAATCCTTTTTGTCATACTTTATGTTTTTTTGAGGAGTTGCTTTTTAACATTTAGGCTAACAAGTGTCACAACCTTCATTCTGCTCACTTAAAAATTATTCCAGGTGGTTTTTAAGGATGCACCCTTCCTTGCCTTAGCTGGCAGTCCACACTCTGCTGACTCCTTTTAGGTTTCTTTTATTGAGAAGTGGAATACTTCGCTTAGAGACAAATGACGTCTTTTTATAGTTCTTGGCACTTGCAAAGCTTTTATGAATTTAGCTGCTCATTTTAGCTTCATTTTATCAATTTTTTTTTGCTTGTATAAAGAACTAATGCAAACTTTTGGGTTGTTAACACTTAAGTTTCTTCTCTGAAACTATAAGCACCAGCTGGTGTTAAAATTGTTTAAGAATGGGAAACATTACTTCAATCTAACAATTTTATGCCTATTTATTAAAACTGAATTAGCAGCCTTTATAAAGAAAAAAATAAAATTCTTCCTTCCTAACAATAACTTCTTTTCCTGTGCACTACTTAAACAATTTAGCAGCAGCAAAAGAATTAATTTTGTAGATAGTGCTACTGACGTTTCAGAAACACTTTTTTCCTCCAAAAAGAATCCGACAGGCCAGATCAAACTTGGGCTACATAAAATGCAAACCTACCGTAGCAGTTTACTAGAACATGGAATTACTCATTCTACCTGACAAAGGGTACACACAGATATTTCCCTCCACGTTACAGATTTTATAAATTCAGTTTCGATAAATGAAACAAACACTCAGTATAAGCAAGGAAGCCAAGGAAACAAAAACTGACCAGTTAGATGAAAACAAAGGAGGCGACTTACAGGAGGACTTGTAAGGAAGGAAGCGTTGAGAATTACTCAATGTTTTAATATTTAGACTCACTTTAAGGAAACAAGCGCACAAAGCCTACTTGCTGCTCTGTTAACTTTAGTTTGTTCATTCTTTGAAGTGTACTATGAGTGGAAACGACAAATTTGCAGTAGTAACAGCAAATGTGCATAGCAATTTTCACCAAAGAACTCCAAGGTATTTTAAAACTTCACAGATCAAAACCGAGACGACTACGCTGGGATGTGAAGTCACTAGCAGAGCTCAGATACTTTCCTTCTCTTCCCATGTGGAATATCTATGCCCTGACATACCTACGCTTCCACAAAAGCACGTTTTTGGTAGTCAGCTCTAAAAACAGGTAGCGATGCCGTCACCATGGAAAGGCAGCGAGTCATGCTCTCCTCCAGGAGATGGCACATCCTGGAGGATTTTGAGGCGTTTCCTTCGTTTCATTAGTACCATTTGTGTGTTCTTCTTCCAAGTCAACATTCAGTGACACCGCACACTTCGAAACACCACTCCCCAGGCTGATAAGCTTCAAAGTTAGTTAACAGCAATTCCTGATTGCTTCACGTAGGTAGTGCTAACTTAAATATTCTAGACTAAGTGAAAATTAAAAATAAAATTGACACAATGGCTAAAAAAAAACAAACAAAACAGTCTGATATCCATAATAAGAAATCTCTCAAGCATTTGGCTGCTGGGAAAGGCATCACGTGCTTCTCAAAAGCACAGTGCTAACTACAGCAGTAAGTGAAAGACGCAACCCCCCTGGTAATTATGCAAATAATATTCTCCATTATAAATCTTCAGCTCCTCATTAGGTTGAGGCCACAATAGCCTTCTCTCTCCTGCACAATATTAAGAATCCAAGGGTTTAAGGCATAAGTCTAAGGCTGTACCTTGGTCATAATTCCTCTCCATTTTCCTTTGTTTCTGTGTTTTAAAATGACAAAATACTAAACGTTTGTTTACCTTACTGTAATTATTCTTCAACAATAACATTACAGTAGAGGTGAAAAAGCACTGGGAAACATCTGCAAGAGATACTAATACTTAGGTGTACTTAGGTGAAATTTGTTTTTAAATTGCAATTTGGAAAAATAACACGGGTAAGAGATTTTTACTTACACGGCATAAATAAAGCTATTTCTTACTGAAGTGATTTGTTTGCTATGTTACCCACCAAGCTTTGATTTTATTTCAGATACGGAGAGCGAAACAAGTATTTCTATAGATGCTGACATAAGTAATTCCATTTATTTTAATAGGAATGCTCACATAAGTATTTTAAACTTTTTTCCTTGAAAATACCGATTTGTTTACTATTTGTAAAGTAATTTAAAAAAAAAAAAGGCACATTCATACCTCAGAATAAAGATTATTTTTACAAAATAGAGTCAATACAGACTCAATATAGCAAGCAACCACTACACGTAAGAAGTTATAAATCTGCCAGACATTTGAAATGGACTGAAATATATACTGTCAGTTTTCAGAGGAAAACAGCCAGCCATATTTTACAACTTCCTTGTCAAGAAGTTTTTATACATCAACTCTAATGAAATATGATTCTTTGATGCAGAATTTTTCCACTAAGCTGGCTTCAAGGTTTGAGAAAATCATCAAAAGATAGACTTTTCGTTGGGTTTTTTTCTACCACATAAGAGACTTCAAAAACAATACTTTTTGAAATGTTACTGTTAGCCAGACTCGTAGCCCAGAAATATTACAGATTTCCTTTAAATACGAAGTAATTAATTTCTAGAAAAATTCTCCTGTATTCTGCAACTTTTTAACACAGAATAACCAAATTTAGTAAACAGACCTAGACTATCATATTACTCTTCCAGCCTCTGAAAAAGAGACAATATTATACACACACACCGAGATACACTATATTTGCAGCCTTCAGAAAGGTTTGGCTCTTTCTAATCAGCTATCCTTGAGACGGGCATATAGAAAAAAAGAGAATTAAAATAAAATTGCATACTGTTAACTAGTAAAAAAGCAAGAACAAATAACAAGAAGAGATCTGCTTTCCTCTTGTACCAACAGTTTGAAACGCGTCTGAAGACACGGTTGTCTGACAAATCTGAGACATCTGTAAAAGTTTCCGAACTTACAAAACGCTGTGCCTTCTGACGCTCCTCTTCCGTCGCAGCTCTCTCTCGAAGAATGGCTCGAGTCAAATGTTCATTTGAAGAAATCCTTTCTCGTTCCAGAAGTCTGCCAAACTCATCACGTACATACATTTGTTCTTGTTTCAACCTACAGAAGGTGGAGGGAAGTTTACATTGAAGGTCTGTTTTCCAAATGTAGTTCAAGAGGACACAGGCAGTTGAAAAGCAATCATTGTAATACATTAGTATCTGGTTCTTAAGACACCTAAATATGAACATTCGTTAAAAATTCAAGAAGTTTATTTCAGATTTAAGTGTCAAAATCAGAATACACAAAAGCTACAGCCTTAGTATCACTATTTGTTAAATCATACAAAAGACAATTCATTCACAAGCTGTATGAAAACATATAGTTAAGTAACACGAATAAGCACAGAGCTCGGTTGGTTGGTTTTGTTCTGTTTTTAAGGAACCCTTTTCCCAGGAAAATCCTTCTCCCCACCAGCCAGCGGGTACCTGATTTTCAGCTAAAAGCTCCATCTTTTCTGCAATAGGATAATGCTTTCCTATCTCTGGACACACCATAAACCTAAATACTGCATCTATTTACCAGGCTGCAAAAAGATTGAACATCGATAATAAACCTTTCCCAGCGATTTGAGAGGACGAGATGAAAATAGCTATTGAACTTGAATAAAGGGAACTCTAGTGCCAGAAAATTCTCAACACTTACATGTCACAAACCATAAACATATTTGAAGTCTTGACTATAGTACTTGATATAAACACACCGTATCTAATTTTCATGAAAATACATAGGTATAAATTGTTTAGCTAATAAAACTTATCTGTTGCATGTGTGTTGTGACACGGAACACAGAGTCAGCATTAGGGAACTCAGAACAGTAATGGCAGTATCAAACACCGGTTTTCAAATAGATTTTTGAAAGAGTGATGGAGAAAAAGCTTAAGTATTCTCAGTGCATTTATACACTGTCAAGGGAGCTTCAGAGAACAAATCATAATGAGTAGGGTCACTTTGTAAAAGGTACTAGCATTACAGTACATTAGATTCTTCCCCAGGGAAAATATTTAAGTGAGGTGGGGAGGAAAAAAAGACAATTACAAGATGTATTACTTCTGTGCTCAGACACAACCCTCTGAAACACAGGAACCAACTGGGAATCTTTATAAAAAGTTTATTAAGCAGCATCTTCAATTACTCTAGCAAAAAAGTCAGATTATGCAGACATGGACCAAATTCCATTAAGTGATTTCCCAAGGTCCCCCAAATTATTCCAGCAGCATTGATATAACAAATCCTTCACACAATCAATGGTGCAGTCAAAACACGCTGGTTGTCTTTTCGATTGGAGAAATCATGTTTTGTCTAAAAAGAAAAAAAAAGTGTCAAAATAGAAGTCTCAGCAGCTTTTTCTTGTGAGAGACAGCAGAGACAGCATTTAGTGTTTCCAGAGACTGAAGTAAGCTCCTTCCTCATCCTTTCTGGATTTTACTTCCCATAAGTGGTTTTCCCCTAAAAAAAGGTCTCTTCTTTATGCATGCTGTACCTAGCAGAATAGTTAAAGTATATGAAATCAGATAATATCTGAAAAAGGCCACCAGATGTTTCCACATTACGAACTCTCCAAAACTAAAAACCACTGAGATATTTACATTTAATTCTTGGTAAATTATTCCCATATTTGACCCGAGCTCAGTCTTCTCGAGCCTTCTCCTTCTTGCCCCAGGAATTATGAACCTCTGGTGAGGTCTCCTCTCAACCTCTCTTGCAAAAAAAGAAGAAAGTCAGTTTTCCTAACACTTAAAAATAATGGGCTCCTAATGTCAAGATAAACCCTTTGATGGCTTAACCTGACTGCTGTTACATTCAGCTTCCCTGCCAAGTACACTACAGAGGGATGGGATGTTCTTTTCTGCTTTTGCCAAAACTCCGCGTGTCCTTTGCTGCAAACTTGCTACAAGACGATGACCCAGAATCTCGTCTACATACAGGAGTCATCTGACTCCCCACCCTACAGCGAGCCGTTAAAAAGCTTTTCATCAGAAGCTCTGACATCCCACGGAATTAGCAGACAATGACACAGCCGTGGGTACGGCCACACCAGTGACAGAAGCCAGGGCTATATAATGTTGGTTTCCCACAAGCAGAGAACTCAGGGCAAGACTTACGATTTCTACCTTAACCAGCCCATTTAAACTTATTTGAGGTACCTCGATACTACTCTGCAGCCATTCCAGTTCTGATTATCTTCTTGGCCATGAACATCTGTATCCTGCCACAGCGAGAGGAAAGGATGGGGATAGGACACCTAAAACTGGCACCCAGAAAATTCCTGCCAAAGTTATACAGCCCCATACCTGATCTTATAAGTGACTAGTTTCCAAGCACCCCACATGGTAAAAATCCCAGAAAAAGGATTCTGCACCAGCCTTTGCTGGCAATCGCATCTCACTGTCATTGCCAAGGAACTCCCATCGCAATAGGGTAATTGATGGGAGTGCGGGGAGAGACCCTCACTGCCAACTCCCACCTTTGGGAACAAAGCATTACATGTTTTCAAAAAAATTCATCTCCGCCCATCTCCTTTTTCCCCACTCCATGTGTAAAATTATATTACTTAAACAGATAGATATTGTTTGTCATCTTCAGATATTGGGAAAGAACACGTAATTCTAACATTACCTTCCTCATTGATACCAATAACAACGACGTGAAATATCTACATTAAAAATGGGAAGATCTTATCTATGTTATTCGTAACAGTACAGCCAAACGCAGCTTTCTTAGTTACAGACTGCCCTTCTTCCTTAAAGTGTGATGCCTTGATGTCTTCAAAACCACACTTACTGTGGTGTAAAAGCCAGCATAAATATCCAAACACAAAACTAAGAATTTACCAGGTCATCAGGTAGTCATTCGTTTTGCAGCTAGCAGTAACACCTTGAATAGACTGGTCAACTTCATCCAAAACAACAACAAAAAAACCAACCCAAAAATACCACCACCACCTCCACAGTCCCCCTGGAAAAAAAGAAAAAAACAACCAAAAAACAGAACAAACAAACCCAAAAAAAACCACCAACCAAACTTTATTGCTGTCCCTATTCCACCTGTGAGGCTGTGGCAGAAGTTCATTTTTTGGAGACTTAAGGAATGTTCTTGTAATATCCAAACTCAATTTATATTTGCCCCATCTAAACACGTTCACTTTGGGGACAAAGATCATTTTAAGACAACAGCCTC